GTCTTGTACTCTTTAGTAATGTTTATAAAAATTTATATTAATCTAATATAATTATGTTGTTTATGTATAATATAATGTAATGTAATATAATTATATAATGAATAGCTATAATAAGCCGTTATAATTTTAAGAAAATTCTGATATTGGGTTCAGTTTTAGTTTAAATGTCAAAAGTTCAACTTATTCTGCTATTATTAGGAGCATGTATTCAAATTTGTATGCTGTATTGTTTGTACCCTGGCAAATGTGTTTGTGTTTGTGCATATCTTTGTATATGCGTATTTGTGTGTGTGTGTGTATGTGTTTGTATTCTTAAGTGTGTCTGTGTGCGTGCGTGCGTGTGTGTAGATACATTTGTATGTTTATGTTAGTATACTAATTGTATGATTGTGTGTATTTATTGTATTTTTTTTTGTTTGGACTGTGCCTTTGGCTGTATCTCTTGGTGAAATGTAGGGTGCATAGCTCAATGAAATCTCTCATTACTGATGATGATGATGATGATGATGCTACTGGTGGTGGTGATGATGATGCTACTGGCGGTGGTGATGATGATGATGATAGTGTGATGACGACGATGATGTTGATAAGTTTAGTGATGTGGAGAGTGATAGTTGTAGAAATTCTGGCTGTGATTTTTTTTCTGCTGTCAGTTGTACTAAAATAAATTTACTAGTGTTTTTTTATTTTGTTTAAAAAATCCTTGGACTAAACAATCTAGGTGGGCCTATTCGGTATCATCATCACAAACATCGTTATCATGTCCACCATCGTCATCATCATCATCATTTTTTTCCAGATACCTAGTTCAGCTTATCCTGTTCTGATGACACCACAATCAGCTGTTGGTTATTTCTCATCACCGGTATGTTGGCTTGTTTGTTTGTATGCATGTATGTATGCGTGTATGTATGCATGAATGTGTGTATGTATGAATGTATGCATGTATGAATGTATGTATGTATGTTTGTATGTTTGGTAGATCTGTTTCTTGTGCAAACTGTTTGCAAATGGGCAAGTTGTTTGCTTGTATTATATTTGTTCAGTAGTTTTATATTAGTGTGTATGTATGTGTATGGTGTGTGTGTGTGTATGTATGCATGCATGTGTACGTGTTTGTGTATATATATATATATATATATATATATATATATATATATATATATATATATATATATAAGTCTGTGAGACTAAGGAATATGTTATTGCTCTTATATGCATGCATGCATGTATGTCTAAGTTTTTTAGCCTTATATTTTTAAAGAGTTGTGTAATCTTATTTCTCCTGTTATGATTTATTTTCCACCTTCTGTTTATTCATATTTTTCTTTTTGTTATTTATATTTATCATATTTTTATTGTATATATATATATTTATATGTTGTTATGTGTTGTATTGTATTGTATTTTTTCTCTACTAAATTCATGCTTGGAAATCATCATCATTCATTTGTTTGTTTTCTTTCAGTATGTTTGTTTGTTCGTTCGTTTGTGTGTGTGTGTGTGTGTGTGTTTATTGCATTGTTTGGTTTTCTTTGA